TAAAATATATTTTTAAAATCACATTTGTTAACATCACTATGATCTCATCAGGGAAGTCTTTAAATATTTGGAAGTGTTCAAGCTCAAGGTGGCAAATAGAAGTTTTCCAAAATTCTAAGTTATGATTAAAAGCTTGAAGTTTATCATTGCGACAGACACTGTCAGTTGTTTTTCTTGAAGTGTCAGCCTAACTGTTCATTTTTGAGTAACTGTCTGCCAAATACCCAAGTCAGCTTGCTACTCAAACAGTCACGAGGAGGCTTTTCTTTGCAACAACCATCATCCCTCAGTGTGCAGCAGAAGTGTTTTAATGTGTATTTCCCATTTTGTCACATGGAATATTAGAAAGGGTTGCAATTTACAGACTAATGACTTTTACCACCTCATCAAGGACAATCATAAGTGTAACTGGGTGTGTAGTGGTGAAGGACACAACGACCACTAGGTCACTAAGGAGCCAGTTGTAGCCACCATTGCCGTTGTAAATGTTGACACAGGCAAAAAAAGTCGTGTGGATTATAAATAAGGTATTACTTTGAAACAGTTTTGACAGAAAGAGTCTTGGAGACACCCAGGACCTGCAGATCACATCTCGAGAACTGCAGACTTAGACCTCAGAATATAGTCCTGTTTTTGCATGGTTATTACCTGGTTTAAAGTAAGAATGCTTTTCTTCTCACTCAACTTTCAGCATGTTGTCTTGGCCAGATTCAGACCCCTAGGCCTTGTTATCTACCATTGTTAGATGGTGGCTTTCCCTACTGCCTGCTCTGGGGTTTTCCCCTGGATTCCAGGGAGGACCCGTTGTTGTCCCTGTCTCTGGGAGAGGTTGCTCCATGGCCCTGTGGCCATCGTGCCCCCAGCACTTGTACCATGTCAGTCACAGGGTGGGTTAGATGGTGGCTTTCCCTACTGCCTGCTCTGGGGTTTTCCCCTGGATTCCAGGGAGGACCCATTGTTGTCCCTGTCTCTGGGAGAGGTTGCTCCATGGCCCTGTGGCCATCGTGCCCCCAGCACTTGTACCATGTCAGTCACAGGGTGGGGTCTGTTTCATTTCACACTGTCAGGGCTGCACAAAAAGTTCCAAGAGGTCTTTCTCCTTCCCTGGAGTGGAAGTGACTGAAGGAAATGAGCTGTTGCTTATCTTGGCAGTCAAAGGATGGCACACAGGGCGGGCATGTAACTGGTTCTGAATACATATGTGGTGAATGAATGAATGAATGAATGAATGAATGATCTCCTGTGAGGAAATACATGAAACCGCCAAGGAGCTCACCATTTAGTGTGACAGACACTGTATCTCACCAACTACAACAGATGGGACTTCCTTGCTGCCCAGCAAGAGAGGAAAGTTTGGTGGACTGTGAAGGAGCAATCTGGCACAGGAAGGGACTGCTCTTTCTCATGTATTTACCAAACATCCACTGTATTTCTGCCCTGTGCTGGACACCACTCCAACAGACAAGGTTAGTTGGGGAGACAAACCAGTAAACAGGTGAACAGGTAATTTCAGATCATGGGGTGTTTTATAAGGGAAAGAAATGGGCTAATGTTTCGGAGAGTGTTGGGACATGGGGTTGGGGCCTCTGTTCGGGTGGCCAGGGAGGTTCCTAGGAGGTGACATTTGAGCTGAGGCTTTGGAGATTAGAAGCTGTCAGCTGTACAAAGACCTGGAGAAAGAGGGTTATCAGCAGAAAAAGAGCCAGTGCAAAGTCCCTGTGGAGGGGAAGAGCTTGGCACCACTGAGGTCATCAAGGCAGCCCAGGGAAAGGGAGGGAGTGGAATAAGGTCAGAGGCAACAGGGGCCTAGTGCGCAGGGCTCCAGGGCCTGGTGAGGAGTGTGGATTTTAATCCTGGCCCAGTGGGACCTGCTGGAGGGATTTAGTGGTGGGTAGACAGTTTTAGGAGAAGGGACTGATTAACAGCATTATTTATAGGAGAGAATCAAAGAAGAGAGAGGTCAAGAACAGTTCACTGGATTTAAAAATATGGAAAGCTGAGTTCTGCAACATACCGGGTAAAGATCTCAAGCCACGGATGATCTCCTGTCTCCTGTTTTGCAGTGAAATTCGGTCTTCAGACATCATCAAACCGAACATCACCAAAGAGATGAACTGACTGGTATAAGCCTGTGGACAAAGGAGGTGACAAAGACTTTTAACACAACCATCTCAAAGACGATCAAAGAGCTAAGGGACAACATGGACAAACACAGGAAAACTATGTATGAACAAACAGAGATTATAAAGAGACAGAAATCACCAAGAAAAGAGAAAAGAAAAGAATGGGGAAAAAAAGAAAAAACAGCAACAACAACAACAACAACAAAAGAAAAAAAAAAAAGGAAGAGGAAAACAAAGCAGCGCTGGTAGAGCAGAGGAGGAGGGCAGATAACCCGCCGCCGGCCCGGGTTCTCCTGGGAAGAGAGCACGCGGCTCCTTCTACCTTGGTGCTGGCCACGCCGATCTCGGGCCCTGCATTGATGTGGACGCCACAGTCGGTCTCGCGGGAGATGGAGCTGCCCACGGTGTTGGTGATGCCCACAGTCAGGGCGCGGCGGTCCTTACAGTAGCGCAGTGCCAGGAGGGTGTCTGCAGTCTCCCCTGTTACACGGGGCCCCTTTCAGTGCTGGTGCTCTGCCAGCCTGAGCCCTGCCCCTCCCTTCTCATCCCCCTCCTCCCCATTTACCCAGGTTCTTACATGGAAATTGGTGCCCAAGACACAACTAGCAGGTGTCCAGAAAGGAAAATGCATGCTCAACAATTTTTTCTGGCTGATTCTTGGTTTCAAGATTTCATTATGTGGCAAGCACTTTTGTCATCCACTGTTTCATTTAACTCTCATGACAACCCATGGGGGCCACTGTCCCCATTTTCCCCTTGAGGATTTGGGGCTCAGAGACAGGAGGAAATCAACACCTCCATCAAGGCTATGCAGCTGCTGGTGGCAGGTGGTCCTGGCCCCCAGGGCTCTTTCTGCTCCTCTAAGCTGCCATATTCAGTGTGCTGAGATTTGACAGACCTAACATTTAAAAGCAAGAATGTCCCCAAATGGTGTTTCTCAAATAGATTCTTTTTGAAAGGACACACTTCTTGCAGCCTCCCGATGTGGACTCAAATTGTTTTTATAACAAAGCTACTCAAACAGGTTCATGCATAAACCAGCACAAATTCCCTGTTTGTAAGCCCCAAAGAACTCTAAGTATGAGCCAGACCATAAAATCAAAACCATTAGAATCCACATGAGTCGTTGGAGGCTGTTCTGGCCACGCGGCCGCTGCTCTCGGCTATGCCTGTCCTAGATTTGCTGCAGTGCAGGCTGGTGCTATGGCGTGCTGCTGGGTGGCCCAATTCTCCTCTCCTTTTTTCTCTTCATACTTATGTTTAGCATACTGGGGTGCCACATGGCCCTTCCTCAGCGTCAGTGGCGGGGTGGGCTTGGAGGAGGAAAGGAGGATGACTATATCTTCATTGGCCCTGCCCCCAGTTTAGATACAGTGGTCTTTTTTGTTTCAATCTCATGTAAAAGGATGAACACTTTTATGTAGACAATCAGGAGCTGCCACTGCATTATTTTCACATTAAATCCACCTCTGTTCTTTTGCTAATGGCTCCCACCAATTCATGAAATATTTTTAGTCTCTAATGGGATCGTAAACCCAAAGGCAACCATGGCAGCACCTGGGTAATAAGGGGGCCAGCCAGATGGTGGGTGTGTCTGTACTAGCTTTTCTTAGCATGTCGTCAAAATGGAAACGGTATTAAACATTCAAAATAGTAGTATTAAAAGCCCCAATAGATATTAGAGCATTAATGTCAATTTCTTAATTGTGATAATAACATTGTGGTTATGTTTTTTCCTTTTATCATACATTCCGAAGTATTTATGGATGAGATAACATGATGTATGGGATTGGCTTCAAAATAACCCAGTGGAGGGGAAGAATTAATGTGGGTATGGATGACGGGAGATTGGCCAAGGCAAAGCGATTCATTGTATAAATGTACTTTTACAAATGTTTGAAATTCTACATAATTAAAATATTTTTAAAAGTCCTGCTAGAGCTCAAGAGGACTCCAAGTACATGGCTATGGATCACCTCCCTGAAGCAGTACCTGACCCAGCTGGAGCAAATTTTCAAAACCTTGCCACCTGGCAGTGTTTGCTTAGCTCCGGGGAATGCTCTTGGCCCCAAACTGGAGCAATGTTTGTCCACACCTCCCCCTACTGGGTGGCCTGGGCACTGCACACAGCGGGCAGCTGGGTTTGGGCACAGAGCCCACACTGAGTCCTCGGTGTGACTCTCAACCTACTAGAATTTTGAAGATTTTTTTTTCTGTCCACTAAACTAAGTCCAGCAAACATTTATTAGCACCTTGGTGAGTAGTCTCTGAAGTCCTGAACTTGGAATGGCAGGAGGAGAGAGAAACAGCGGAGCAGGGGAAAAAAACCTATGGACCTGGATTCCTGACCCCATTCCAGCTCTATCACGCCCTGGCTGCATGACCTTAGAAGTCACTTGCCTTCCCCATGCAATGGCGACAATGAGTGTGGCTATAAGAGTTAAATGACCTGAACAGGAGAGTGTGTGGCACATGGTAGGTGTGCAGAGGACTTAATTGGATGAAGGAGGGAGGGACCTTAGAAGTCACTTGCCTTCCCCATGCAATGGCGACAATGAGTGTGGCTATAAGAGTTAAAAGACCTGAACAGGAGAGTGTGTGGCACATGGTAGGTGTGCAGAGGACTTAATTGGATGAAGGAGGGAGGGGGCCATATAGTATGTCACAGAGAGAAGAGAACCCAGAGATGAGCTCATGTTAACCTGGCCATGCAGCCTGTATCCTTACCTGATTGGCTTATGAAAAAGCAAACGTCATCCCTGAACACAGGTGTGTTCCTGTCCAGAAAATCACTAGCAAGTTCAACCATCACAGGGAGCTCAGTCAGTTCCTCCAAAACTTGCCGTGTCTGAAGCCAATAAAAATGAGGACTAAAGTCAGTCATGGACAAAGGGCATCTAGGCTTCTAGGGACAGTATGTGACATGGCACCTTGCTGTCTGGGCAGGGAGGGGACTTCAGTCACTTATAGTCCACCTTGCAGAAGAAAGCACTTGGTGCCAGTTCTCACACTGGCTCATGGGAACAGGTACAGGGCTTTGCCGAATTTGAAAGGCCAAACACATGATAAACTCTAAGACCCACATCTTGTTCTAAACTACTTCTAATTTCCCTGCACTTTCAAGGGTCCAGCGTATTACGCTTACAGCCACAGCGGCATGGTAGCTGGTTCCACAGCCAATCACGATAAGCCGTCGGCATCGTCGTATCTCCTTCAAGTGGTCCTTCAAGCCACCCAGGAGCACTGCAGGGCACACAGCAGGGTATTAATACTGACTCTACACAGTGACCACATTCACTGGTGCAGGGCACAGATGGAGGCTCCCCGCCAAGTATCAGGATCACCTACCTGTGTTGGTCTCAAAATTCACCCGACCTCTCATGGTATTGAAAACTGATTCTGGCTGTTCAAAGATCTCCTTCTGCATAAATGCACTGAAGTTACCTGGTCAAATCAACATCAACAAGACTGGTTAGTTTTTATTTAGTTATGTTTCCACTGCTTAACTTTTAATCAGGGGAAAAGCTGTTCTGCAGTCCTAATAGCGACACCTCTAAAGCCCATTGCAGATTCCCAAGGGATTCCCCAAGTATTGTTCCTGATGCCCATGGGGACAAGTCAGAGGGAAGCAGGTCAGGTATGAAGGCTATTTCTAATTTACACATTAGACTCTGCCGCTTAAGGAAGGGAGAGATTTGCCTGAGGCATGTAAGTAACAAATGGCATGGCTGGTCTTCTTGGGCCACACTCCCCTTAGCAAGGCCAGAAGGTAAAACGCTTTACTTCCAAAAAGCCACCCACTTAGGGAAGTACAAATTAAACAAACCCAAAGAAAAAGCCCATTTTCTTTTTAAAAAGTACCCTCCTAGCTTCTGCAATAGAGAAAAACCTTTTCAGCTGCACATGCATTTCCAGGACTCTGAGTTGAATGGGATTGGATGGTGTCAAAGGGACTATCTGGCTGCATGGTGTTCATGCGCCTGACGGAGGTGTTGCATCTGATCTTTTGGAGGCATCCACAGACTTGTGGTGGTGCTATCCAGGGTACATGCACCATGATGCCAAACATCGCCAGTGTTCCCTGTCTGCCGCCTACGACATAGCACTTGTACAAAAAATGCCATGAAACAAAGCAAGTGAGGAGGTGGGCGGGGAAGGGGGGAGTTGGGGAGGGGCCACAGCACATGCAGATCAGAGAAGGGCTCTCTGAGTGGGTGCTGTTTCAGGGGAGCTCAAGATGATTAAAGGGAGCCAGTCCTATGGGAAGAACAGCAGGTGCAAGCACCCCCGGGGTGGGCAAGCAGTCAGGCCAGGGCATGGGGCATGGCCACTAAGGGCTGAGTGCATGGGGCTGGGTTTTGGCTTGGGGGGGGGGATGAGTGGGGCTTGTGGGACGTACGGAAGTTTGAATTTTATTCTATGAACAGTGGGAAGCCATTGGAGGGCTTTAAGCAGTGGGAGGATAACAGGGTCTTATTCATGTTCTTAAAAGTTTACTCAGGCTGCCCTATGGAGAAGAGGTTGTAGGGGACAAAAGTGGGTACAGGCAGACAAGCTCTCCTCATAGGGAGTGGTCCACAGCCCACCACTACAGACCTCCCACCCAGAGGAGAAATGACTCCTGGGCCATAGGAATGTGTCCCAGGGAGGCCATTGATAGAGTGGGGTCAGATCAAGCAGGGAGGACCTGGTGCCTGCATAGAGGCAGGAGCACCTTTGGAGGTGTCAGGCCAGGTTCCCACATCCCCTGCAGTCTGCCCAGTGGTCACAGCAGGTAGCAGGGCTGTGGGGCCCACCCATGGTGAGGCAGAAGGTATCAGAAGCTTGACCACTGAGCATCTTCTCCCCGAGGCTCCTGCAAATGGACTGTCAGAGGACACCTGCCTTTCATTATTTGCTGCAATTCCATCTGCAATGTCTGGATGGCTCGAGATGGGTCATCACTAGCTGAGCGCTTGACCCGATGAATGGAGAGTTTCCCATCAGCCACTGCAGCGATGTCATCGTCCTCCAGGAAGATGACCCGGTTGGTGTGTTCTATGATAGCACTGGAGCAAGAAAACAGGTATCATCATCAGCCCCTGCCCTCAGCAGTTACAAGGTGGCAGTCACTCTCTGTCTCCCAGGTGTGGGGGTCCATACACATCAGAGGCATTTTAAGAGGGACAGAGACACCACATAAAAAGCATTGATTTGCATACCTCTTCTCCACACCTCCCTCTCCTCCCCCTGAATTATTTTGAAACCAGTCCCAAACATTACATCATTTTTTCTGTAAAACATTTTAACTTGTATCTGTAAAAGATAAGGACTATTTTTAATCTACTATAATACCATTATCATATCTATAAATAAAATTAATAGTTATTCCTTCATATCATCAAATATTCATTCTGTTCAAATTTCCCCAGTAATCTCACGGATGTCTTTATGCAATTGGTTTCTTCAAATCAGGATCCAAACAATGTCACCTTTGGAGAACGCTCAGGAACCAACACATTATTGTTAATTGTAAAGGGAAAGAATGTATCTCTTATCTTGCCTTTTGAAACAATCTGTTTTTCAAAATAACCACATAGTTTATGAAGGCAAGTTTCTCCTTATAGAAGTAATATCGCTAGTAAAGAAGGAATGATAGAATAAGAATAATCAATTTGTGGACTCAATTATTAATCGTTCTAATCAAGGATCCTCAATGGCTGAGGATTCATCAAGAGGTGAAAAGCTGAGAGAAGCTTTATAGTGGACGGATAAGGCTGGCAACATTTGAACCTCCTGATCTATCTTAGCACAAAAAGAGAGACAATGAGACATTGTGTGCCTACTAATGGCACGACACACCACCACCCATAAAGTAGTCTTGACAAAAAATAAAACTGGAATAAGATCAAGCTTCTAGACACCTATAAACTCTGGTTTACAGGAAATACCGTGGACAGGGGAACATGTTAAATGATGCCATGGGGGTTGCATTCAGCAAAATCCAGACAATGGGCAACCCATCAGGACAAATGACCCAGTTTCTTAACACGCACACACACAGGCACACACACATGTGACAAGAAATAAAAGGGGACCTAAAAGCCACCTATATGATATGCCCACCAATGAAATGTAGGGTCATTGCATTCATTTTAATAAAAACTTTCTCTGTAGGAAGTGTGATAATTATATTTTCCTTGAGATCGTGATAGAAAATTTCAGTTAGAAAAGTTGGTAAATAAAAAAGAAAATTAGGTTATCCATAGCACAGGTGGTGCACAGATGCGGTAAAAAACACGAAGGTGGTGCTTGAAGGACCACTGGAGAAAAATCCCTCATTCTACCAAGTGCTACATCCACACACGCCTTCGCAGAAAAATGAGCATTTAAAACTTTTGATGCAAAATTAAAGAGAAAAACTATCAAATCCCATGGTTCTAAGAGAGGTGTATCTAGCCAGATCCTAGGGCAGAATGATAAAGAAGGCTGGAAAACCAACTGCATGGGTAAAAATATTTTAAACAATACATATCCATTTTGTATAAAAAGTAAAAAACACAGAGTAACAAGAGGAAGAAGCAAAAATGATCGGCCCCATCTCCAAGAGATAAATCCTGCTTACATTGTAGCACTGGCCTCCCTACAATTCTTGATGCATGTGTGTTTATATTTATGTGAACAGACGTATGTTTAAATATAATTACTATTTTAATTTACAAAATGGATGGTAATATAATCTAGTCATTAAGAGCATTGGTCCAGGAGTTGGACCTGAGGTGGACTCCTTGCCTCCGTCTCTTACTAGTCCTGTGCCCTCAGGCGACATAGACAAACCCTCTAAGTCTGTCTGACGTTCCTCCTCTGCACAACAGAGATGACTGCTGTGCGTTCCCCAGAGGTGTGCCGTGCTTATTAAGTGGAGGTAAACCTGGCGAGGCCCTCAGCACAGTTCCCAGACATCAGTGCCCAGCACGTGCTAGCTACCGTTGTCCTGGGGGCTCCACGGTGTGTCTTCGTATCTGGGAGGGTCACCCCTGTCATTCTTTTTCTTTTTTTTTTCCTTTTTGTCTTTTCTCGTGTCCGGCAACGGATCGCAACCCTCAGTGTCGCACCCGTACCGGACC